GAAGGCCGAGGCTTGGCCAACTGCTCTGGACGTTGCCATGACTGCCTGCCTGCTGGAGCTTCCTCTCTCGTAAGCCCCCTGGGTAGGTCAGGGAGGCAGGTACTTACAGGAGCGCACATGGATCACCTCAAGTTCTTTGTTAGGGAAGCAGGGCATAGAAACAACAAGATCCAGGAAGGTTTTGGTTGATTCAGGGCACAGACCAATCAGAAAAGATGTTGGTTTAGGCCTCTGAGCCCCAACTTTGAGCTGCTTGTTGTAGGGCAGGCAGGGAGTCCCGGGGTTGGTTGAAACAGCCTCAGGGTAAGGCAGGAGCAGCCCTCTCTGCACCTTGGTAATGGCTTCCAGTGATTCGCCTTGAGACCAGCATACTCCCCACACAGCTGTTAAGAGATTACACACCTGCCCACAAATATTTTCATCCACTTCAGCTAGTCCTGCCGGGGCCAGGCATTCCCAGGCAGAGACGTTCTGGGGCTCTGCTGGGCTTCTGCGACCTCATGGACTCTAAGTCCTTGGTACTTCTACCACCTTGACCTGTTTCCTAATGGCTCCAGGGCTGCCTTCGCAGGGTTGGCCCATCCGTTGGCATCTTGTTTGCCTTTGATGTAGGTGAATAGTCAACTGCATCTCCTCCTCTTTCCGGGTAGCCTGGTTGCCATTCTGGACTCTCCACTGGACTAAGGGGAGAGAGTGTTTCTTGAAAACTCTAAGCTTTTCTGCTTTTCTTTAGAGCACCTTAGAGGTCATCTATGCTGACTCCCTGCCAAGGTGTGCGTGTGCAATATGCACCATGTGTGCGTGGGGAGACAGACGTGTGTCATGATGGCTCTCTTTCTCCTTTTCTCTGCCAAATATATGCATTGCCTTAAATTTCTCCTTCTTTCTTTCTTCTTTCTTTCTTTCTTTCTTTCTTTCTTTCTTTCTTTCTTTCTTTCTTTCTTTCTTTCTTTCTTTTTTAAGAGAGATTTTTGCTATAGGGCACATGCACTCACTGGAAAGACAGAGACAGAAAGCGAGAAATCACCCCCCACCACCACCAGGGGGATGGCCATGCCATAATCTCTTCTCCTCTATTCTCCTCTTGGGATTTTGACCATGCACACACATGCGCCCACAGTGAATTTTAAGTCGCCGGGTCTGGGACTCAAACGGCGTTCGTCTACATAGGAGTCCAGCAATGTAACTATTGTGCTGTCTGCTGGTCCCACATTTATTCTTTATAATACTTTTGATTGATCTACATTTTCTAATTATTTAAGATAACCCCTATTAATCATTTGATCATATATGTTTTCAGAAGATCCTAAATAATAAAATGATATAATTTTGAGCTTATAATTTCAGAATCCAAACAGATTTTTATACAGGGTTATGGCATAATACCTAGGATAAAAGGAACAGCAAAGCACGAGGAGACTTCTGTTCAACCACGATGGATATTTATTGATTGATTTTGGCAGAGGGTATGTGCACCCACCAGAGAGGAGTAGAAAGACAGAGAGAGGGGAAGAGGAGAGAGCAGCCCCATGAGGAATGAAAATTGCGACCCCCGTCTCCTCCATCTCAGTCCTGTCAGGATCTGGGCACACACAAACGTGCACACCACATGTTTCTCAAGCTGCCATGTCTGGGCCTCAAACTGTGTGATCACGCATGTGGGATCTGGCTACCTTACCCACCAGGCCATGAAGCCAGCATGACAGCTGTGACTGTCCACCTCATGGAGAGATAGCAGAGGTTCCACACTGATCAAATAAATGCTTCTGCAGGGAGTGCTTGGTTAGATTAGAACTCCCCCATGTCCCAACATACCCAGACACACACAGACAACACACCCACCGACACACACATGTAAAAACGTGCCAAGTACACTTAAATCCTTGGGCGCTCCTTCCTCTTTTATCAGAATGCTGCATATTAACTTTATGGTAGCTTTATTCATTCCTGTGATATTCCTGAAATAACAGGAAATAAAGATATCAAAGGCAAATATAATTTAGCATTTCACATGCTTAGGGAAAAATTGTGCACAGCATCGCATGCAATGTAAAGGGCACCGGGCTTGATGAGAAACCTCGCGGACACTTGAAAGCACTGCTGGAGTCATTTGACAGATAACCCCACAAAGAGACTGACTGCAGGGTGCTCCGTGTGAATTAGGTGCCCGTGCGGACGAGACTTCAAAGTTGTATGTGACAAGAAGTCTGTGTGAAATTGGTTCGAGAATTTCAAATTGGAGGCACGGACATTTTCCAGGGAAAAATTAAAATCAATTCCCACAGGAATTAAAATTAAATTCTTTTTCTAGTTTTATACCTCATGAAGATAGCGTTTTATAGCTGGGCTTTTGTTTCAGCATGATCGAAGGGGGTGAATTTATTTAGACAATGGGTATGTCTACACACTGGAGCAAGATCATTATGACTACAAGTATTTATAGATCTGGGACAAGCAGATAACATGGTGTTGAAGGTGCTGGACTCTCACATGGCTGACCATGGTTTGAATCCTGGACCTGGCAGTTTGAAAATCCTGCCTTCGTGCCCAAAGTCCTAGAAAAGAGAGTGGAAGAGAAGGGAATGTAACACGACCATCCTCCCTGGGGGGTGATCTCTCACTTTCCCTCTCACCGTGTCTGTCTGGGAAGCACACATACCTTGGCAAAATGTTAAAAACAGACAAGCAAAAAAACTATCACTAGCTGCGGCGTAGCTCGGCATATTTATATTAACCCCACCTAGTAAGAAGCGGGGATTGATTTGATGTGTTCAGACACCCCCCCTCCCCCAGGGTGCAAAACAGACACAGAAGGAAAGCACTTGCCCGACACCATTCTAGCCTACTCCCCATCACCATGACGAGCTTAAAATGTGTGGTTTTCCACTCTCAGCGCTATTGCTCCCTCAATAATAGTTGCTTAAACCTTCATTTAAATACACTTACGTGACCTCCACGTGTCACTGAAAGATCTTACGAGTTAAGTCCCATATAGACACCTGAAAACTGTAATTTCAGTTTTGATTCTCTGTTATTGGCTGAAGACACTATTCCATGTAGTTGTCTTTTGAAACCTAATAAAACAAGAGATCTAAACCTTTCCACACAGAAGTCTTGAATGGAGAGTTTTCAGGCAGTCAGTCAACCGCAAAATCTGCACTTTCATTTGTATTCCAAGTAGTGTACGGGTCGTCGGAAAAGCCGTGACACGTATCTGCATAGAGAAACAAACAAAAAAATATAACCATAGAAAACAACGTGCAAGTGTAAAGTCACCGGACTTTATAAAGTCAAAGATTTTAGCTTGTACAATAGCATTGTGCTCAATTAAATCCCTCAGTTGGAATTAGACCTCTCTGTTTTGCCTATGAAAGAATAAGGAAAAATAGTTAAATGAATGGAAAAAGCAAATCACCTATTTTTCACAGAGAGCAGTAATTAAAACTGGCACCTTAAAAAGATAGTGAAGTCCAACCCTGCC